TTAATTCTTTGAGTCTTGCTCGTGCGTGACTAGCCCATTTCATCATGGCTGTGTCATTTTGGTCTGCATCACACATCTTGCGGTTGTTGTAAATTGCATCCAGATGGTGCCAATTTTGACGGCAAAACCTACACAAATTTGCATGAAATGACACCATTTGCTCATCATAATTATGTCGTACTGCCACTTAAAATCTTAATTATTTTTTGCCACTTACGATTTAATGTAAAGCGGTTTCAGGAGCCACCAAGATGTTTTCAACGCCAAAGCATTTCTTTACCACGTCCGATGTGACAACAAGAAAAGTAGAACGTGTTCCTAAGGACAGCCAACCCAAAACCATCTATTCAATCTCTTTTTTTTTGGTTGATGCTTTCGATAGATGGTGTGAAATATCGATTTCTTTTTTCTTTTTTCTTTTTGGTTATACAGAATTTAGGAGAGGACAAAACAAACCCGCAACCTAGAGCCGGTTGGATTGACGTAAGGAATTATTATCCCCCGTGTCTCTTGGTGTGGAATTAAACATGACATTTTCTAAAAAATTCAAAATATTGTCTCCATATAAATATGTATAGATATATTGAAACAACGTAAAAAATATCGTACCCGTATAAATTTAAACAGGTATATAATTGAAACAATAAAAAAGTAACTATGGTATATAAACGCGGACAACCAACCGAACTTACCCATGGCAGCGTGGATTGACGATAGGGGTGGTTGTTGTGGGGGGCCGTGCTTTCTCGTGTTGACAGACAACTAGAAGTACAATTTTTTACTTTCTATGGATGGATATATATAAATAGGACTTAAACAAACACCATTTAGAGCTTTTACAGTGTGTTTGGACGAGGGAAACAAAATTGGGATTTGGATAAGAGTATGAATTTCTAAATTGATATACATTAATTCTCGTGTTTGGATTAAAATAAAAAAAAAGAAATTTATAAATTCTACGTGAAAAATAACATGGAATTTGGAGGTTATGAATCCTAACTTAATTTTATCTAAACTTATCATTTCTAAAATTTCAAGCGAGTGGAAGTTATAAAATATTAAATTTTATGTTTAAATTCATTAGCCAAATAAGAAACTTTACAAATTCTAGATCATTAATTTACATTATTTATGAATTTCTTAATACTTTTAAATTTCCTTATCCAAACATACCGTTAAATTTTTTGTCTCGTATCCATTAACCGCTTAGATTTTAGGTTGCATTCATTCAAAATCCAATACTTCGAAAAATATCGTACCCGTATAAATTTAAACAGGTATATAATTGAAACAATAAAAAAGTAACTATGGTATATAAACGCGGACAACCAACCGAACTTACCCATGGCAGCGTGGATTGACGATAGGGGTGGATGTGGGGGGCCGTGCTTTCTCGTGTTGACAGACAACTAGAAGTACAATTTTTTACTTTCTATGGATGGATATATATAAATAGGACTTAAACAAACACCATTTAGAGCTTTTACAGTGTGTTTGGACGAGGGAAACAAAATTGGGATTTGGATAAGAGTATGAATTTCTAAATTGATATACATTAATTCTCGTGTTTGGATTAAAATAAAAAAAAAGAAATTTATAAATTCTACGTGAAAAATAACATGGAATTTGGAGGTTATGAATCATAACTTAATTTTATCTAAACTTATCATTTCTAAAATTTCAAGCGAGTGGAAGTTATAAAATATTAAATTCTATGTTTAAATTCATTAGCCAAATAAGAAACTTTACAAATTCTATATCATTAATTTACATTATTTATGAATCTCTTAGTACTTTTAAATTTCCTTATCCAAACATACCGTTATATTTTTTGTCTCGTATCCATTAACCGCTTAGATTTTAGGTTGCATTCATTCAAAATCCAATACTTCGAATCTAAAATCTGAGCTCTAAAGCCATTATATTATAAATAATAATTCTGGTAAGAAAAAGGTTCAATTTAAGTGAGATTTTCTTGACACATGTATGTACCTTAAGAGAAAAAGAGCGTTTGAACCAAATGATTGGGGTGAGCAAATCTATAGAAAAATCGACAAAATCAATCTAATCGAACCATTTGATCCGATTTTTTGTTTTAAATTCTCAAATTTTGGCGATTAAACACCGGTTAAAGATTCATTTTAAAATTATTAAATTACGATTTGACCAAACTAAATAGTAATACACTTTTAACTAATGAGGTGTTAGTTGGATTGACCTAGGCTTTCGGTGTGCTCCCAAATGTTTATGGATTCAAGCTCTCATGGTAACCGTTAAAAAAATGGTAAGATATTTTTACAAAATTTAATCATATATTCACTCTATGGTCCTCACACACAGCGTACAAAAAAAATTGCCTTTATGTGTTAGTAGTACTTGTTAGGTAATTAGGAGTAGTCTCCCTCAACCAGGTACGTACGCAGGCAGATGGGGCGCGGAAGACCTTTCCGCCGGAAATTACTGTTTATAGTGCAAACTACAAGCACACCTGACACCAGTCTGCCCCTAGCTAGCTAGTACAACAAATTGTTCAATACAATACAACCTTGAGAGATGTGTATAAATATTATAACAAAAAATATCAAAAGAAAATTAAATAATAAAGCAGGAAATGCGAGGTCTCATATTTTTCTAAAATCAGCACGGCAATTCTTGTATCTTAATAAAGAAGAGATTATAACAAGTAGCTTTTACCGGCATGATTTTTCTGGGGATGGGGGACGCTTTATTAGGGGTAAAGTTCCTTTTTCCGTTTGCGGTTAAGAGGAAAGACTACATAGTTAACCCTTATATGTAGAGATGCTCATTTAATCCTTTAGAACACGTAGCTAGCCCGAATTATTAAATTACGATTTGATCAAACTAAATAGTAATACACTTTTAACTAATGGGGTGTTAGTTGGATTGACCTAGGCTTTCGGTGTGCTCCCAAGTGTTTATGGATTCAAGCTCTCATGGTAACCGTTAAAAAAATGGTAAGATATTTTTACAAAATTTAATCATATATTCACTCTATGGTCCTCACACACAGTGTACAAAAAAAATTGCCTTTATGTGTTAATGGTACTTGTTAGGTAATTAGGAGTAGTCTCCCTCAACCAGGTACGTACGCAGGCAGATGGGGCGCGGAAGACCTTTCCGCCGGAAATTACTGTTTATAGTGCAAACTACAAGCACACCTGACACCAGTCTGCCCCTAGCTAGCTAGTACAACAAATTGTTCAATACAATACAACCTTGAGAGATGTGTATAAATATTATAACAAAAAATATCAAAAGAAAATTAAATAATAAAGCAGGAAATGCTAGGTCTCATATTTTTCTAAAATCAGCACGGCAATTCTTGTATCTTAATAAAGAAGAGATTATAACAAGTGGCTTTTACCGGCATGATTTTTCTGGGGATGGGGGACGCTTTATTAGGGGTAAAGTTCCTTTTTTCGTTTGCGGTTGAGAGGAAAGACTATATAGTTAATCCTTATATGTAGAGATGCTCATTTAATCCTTTAGAACACGTAGCTAGCCCCGTTTTTGTATACTTGTTTCCGATTATATTTTCAATAAAATGCTATCGCTAATTCTAAAACAACAAAAAAGAAAATAGAGAGATATTATAATACTTGCACCTTAATGGGGAAAACTAGAAAATAGAGGAAGACAATCCATTAAAACCATGGCAAACAAATTTCCTGGGGATGGGGGACGCTTTATTAGGGGTAAAGTTCCTTTTTTCGTTTGCGGTTGAGAGGAAAGACTATATAGTTAATCCTTATATGTAGAGATGCTCATTTAATCCTTTAGAACACGTAGCTAGCCCGGTTTTTGTATACTTGTTTCTGATTATATTTTCAATAAAATGCTATCGCTAATTCTAGAACAAAGAAAAAGAAAAGAGAGATATTATAATACTTGCACCTTAATGGGGAAAACTGGAAAATAGAGGAAGACAATCCATTAAAACCATGGCAAACAAATTTCCTCCAGAAGAGGAAGATTGGTCAGAAATCAATGCGAGTTTTCGGGAGCAAGGACCCAAATATATTTGTAAAAGCTGACAGACTAGTCTCACGGAGATGCATCATACTAGATCATGTATAGTAAGCATCTCGAACACTGTATAAATTGTACGATGAGAATATGAGCAAATTTGTGGCTCTAGGCAAACTATAGCAATTTTTACCATTTAAAATGATGTTGATGCTTTATAGCTAAAAGGAAATTGAGAAAGGAAAGGCACATCTTTGTGGGTGTGTATGTATCTACACCACAAAGAGAATGTTCTCTTATCATGCTAAGTACCAATTCTCTTATGTTGCCCGTAAGCATCTTTGGCGGAACCAAATTTTCAATATGAGATACATTAAAAGTTGCGGTCGTTTGCTAAAACTGTGAATCTGTACTACACATTTATATAACTATTAATCTATTTAATAAAAAATATTTGTAGCCTGTAACAACACATATTTATATTACTAGACTGTACAACACGATAACATTTCTGTAAACATACACTAAATGCGAATCTAATTAAACGTTAACTTCAAGTTTATAAGGCTAGCTAATCCAACATATACTATATCACTATAATTAGATTAGTTCTAATAAGTAAAGTGGGGAATTAAGACATATCAAATTATCATTAACTACGTATATTACAATTTTAAAGTCATTAACTAAGACCTTCTTAGAGCAACTTCAAGTTAATTATCAACTTAAACCTCATGAGAAGAGCTTCAATAAGCATTGTAATATTCTAATTACATACTTAGGTTTCCAAATAAATATATTTTTATTTTGACACGTTAATTCGTGGATGGTTCAAATTCTCAGCTTGATGAAAGACATTCTAGTAGTAAAAGAAAATCAAGCAGAGGTAGATGAGGTAAATTAGTTAATTTCACAAGAAGACAAAATACACACTTCCAAAAACAACCGTGCTTTTGCATTATCATCAATATTATCTTTAAAGAACATACCACCTTTTTCAATTCTCTCTCTCTAATTTGCTTTTCTGTTCAGGTCCTGCCGGGTTATTAAGAGTTTAAGACTGAGCTGACTGCAGTGAACTAAAGGGTGTGTGTGTGTGTGTGTGAGAGAGAGAGAGAGAGAGAGAGAGAGAGAGAGAGTTTATGCTTCAAAATCAGAATCGATGGAGGTGTCAAGTTGCACAACAAATGGTGCAATTCTACTTTTCAACTCTCTGAATCCTTTTCAAACTCCCCGAAATTCCTACTTATTTAGCACTTCAGAAAAGAGAGATTAAATTTTTTTTTTTAAAGAGCTGCTGGCCTCACATGAGCTCACAAGTACTAAATGACCCACAAACACAAACCCAAAACTCAAAGGCCACCCCCACCTCCCATAAGTACACCCATCTATCTTTCTGCAAAAATCAAAGAGAAAACAAGAGAAAGAAAAGATCATCAAAATTGCCATGGATGAGTTGAAATGTTTAAGGGGTTGGTCTTGATTAATTAGCTGGCTATGATGAGATTCAGATGGTGAAGCAAGGAGGAGGAGAAGGAGGAGTGATAATGGCTTCAAGATGCCAAGACTGTGGGAACCAAGCAAAGAAGGAGTGTGTGTACATGAGATGCAGGACTTGCTGTAAGAGCAAAGGGTTTCACTGCCAAACCCACGTCAAAAGCACTTGGGTTCCTGTCTACAGAAGACGCCACCAGCAGCTTCCTGCAGCAGCTATTCTTTCTCAACAGCACGTTCAGCTTCATCATGAACAAGGACATCACCACCAAAACCCTAAGAGGCCAGCTGAACACCTGACCAATCCGTCTTCCTCAACAAGTACTGTTAATTTTTCTTTTTTCTTTTTTCTTTTTCAAAATTTGAGGAAATGCGATGTCCATATGCTAACCCTAACAGTGATAAGTTCCTTTTCCTTTACTCTTTACTTGTACATGTACTGATATACTGTTTAGGAATACTTTACCACTTTTATTATGTGGCTTGATTTTTTTTGTTTTTTTTTGTTTTCTCATAATGATCAATATTAATGTAGATATCATTTTGGTTAATTGGGTTTCCTTTATGTTTAGGGCTAGATCAAGAGGTGAATTTTCCAGCTGAAGTGAATTCCATGGCAACTTTTAAGTGTGTTCGAGTGAGCTCAGTGGAAGACATGGTTGATCAGCACGCTTATCAGACGAGCGTGGTGATCGGAGGGCATGTATTTAAGGGAATTCTCTATGATCAAGGTCCTGATCATCATCATCAAAATTGTTACACTACTGTAGGCCAAAGCTCCAGCTCCCATCATTTATTGTTAAATAAGAAAACTAGTAATTTTATTAATGCTGCTGAAAATACTGCTTCCACTTCATCAGCTCCTGATCCTGCAGATCAAGTACCACATCATCACCCTTCTTCATACCCATTGATTCCCTTTAATGCTTTCATGCCTGGTACGCAATTTTTCATTAACCCAAAATGAGTCTTAATTAGGCTCTCTCTCTCTCTCTCTCTCTCTCTCTCTCTCTCTCTCTCTCTCTGTAATTTGTTCTTGTGACTAAAAAAATAAGGAAACATATAATTAATGTAATAATTCTGAATAGTTTTCTTATGATCTTAACCATTTTTAGTAATATGTTCAGCTAATTATTGGAGTGTAAATAATTAAAGAGACTCGTGATCAGATCCCTTTCTCTTTAAAGCAAGATACATAGTTTCTGTTCTTGTACATTTAAACCACATGTAGTACTCCAAAAATGAGAAAGATATATAAATTCAGAAAGAAGAAGAAGAAGCTAGATGAGCTTTAGTTAACTACTTCTGCTTTGTTCAAATTTCAATGCCTAAATTATGTGATATATTCTCTGTGAAATGTTGTGTGTACAGCAGGGTTTGCAATTTGTCTTCTTGTATATTTGTTTATGGTTAATTCTCATCTTCAAGGTTAATCTACCAGATTATTTTATGAACTTCGAAACCACTTTTCTCCAGCATTTCCGTTTCTTTGCCGGCTAGGAGCAATGTCTGGACAAAATTTACAAAGATTGCAAGCTTGTTTTCTTTATCATATAATTTCAAGTACTATCCATGTGCATCAAAATATAAAATTACAACCAAAATGTCCAAGAAAATATACACATGTAGAGACACAATCACAGAGCATGAATCATGACTCATATAGATTTGAGGAATTGCTGCTGTTTTTGTTTATTTTAATAATTTGCTCATTGTCATCATAATTAATGCGTGACTCTCTGATTTATTTTTTATCGAGTATAAGGGATAATCTAAACTAGAAAGTTACTCTAAATCATGTATATATTTATGTTTTGATTTCTCTATAAAGTGTAGCACTAACATGCATACTTTTATATGATTCAAAGTGGGTTTTATATGTATATTAATTTCTTTCACAGTTAAGAGACTAGTTTGAGCCTTTGAGGGGAATCATAACCCTATAGCTATAGACCTAGAACCATGCATAAAGCTAACCCCATAAGGGGGATATTTTATTATTAACAGTACAAGAAAAAAAAGACTAGATCAGTTGGGGCATCTGAAAACTTTAATCAGAAAACAGTAATTAATTAAACAAACACCCATGCCCTGATCTTTCACATCTTTTGTGCTAAAAAGACATTCACACACACTGACTATATAGGAAAAAGATGGATACCACAATCACACTACCAATGGAATATATCCTCAGTACTTGAAAAGATAGAGGCCTTGCAGATATATAAATATATAATTGAGGAATTTTCTAGAGGACTTGCCTATTATAGTTGGGACAAAGTCTTCAATAGGAAGACATGATTGGGGAGAAAAATAAAATGAATGAGGGTAGGCCAAATCTCTGTATAGCTTTTGAGTAAAGGGGGGGTTTTTGAATTTTTTTCTTTCTTCTTTTTTAGGTTATAAAAACTTTAAATTTTGATCCTGGAACCATGCAGGCACTAAATTAAACCACTCCCAAAAGTAGTTTTTTATAATTCTTGAATACTCATAATTGAGTGCATGGACTTTATTCTAATTTTTAGTGTTGTGTGGGAGGTGATCATAAAAGGTGTTTCTTAATTAATTAATATTAATTATTCAAACTTTTAGGTTAGCTGGTCGAAAGTTTGGTTATGCACAATCCACAATCTTACCTTCTATGCAGCTTTTTTCATGTTTCACTGTCAGCTGCAGTGTCAAAATCAGTGGATGGATGCATTATCTTTGTTAATTTGCATGTCAACCAATGTTATAATTTTCGTATAGATTAATTCAGTATTGATAATTTTCAATGAAAAACTTTTACAGAAAGAATGCTTTTAAAATTTGTTCTTCACTGTGTGAAATAAATATTCATAAGTAATGGCAAGAAGAATGTCTTAAGTTATTTGTGATTTTTTAATAGAAAATATGACTGTTTTTCTCACTGATTGCTTGTAATATGTTCTCTTGCAAGACGGTGAATCGTTGGTTTGTGTTTTTGGTATCTTATATATGTTGGCATCAATTGGCTATGTTAGCATAAAGGAGTTGCAGGTCAAATTCAAGCGTTAAAATCGAACAAAAACAAAGCTTATGGTGGAGAAACTTTTTTTCTTTCGAGGTTTTCATAATGGACCCATTCTAACATGACATTTTGTATAATACCCCTTTGAGAATCTATTTGGCGGAACAAGAAAAGCCCTCAATTAGTCACTTGTCATTTTCTAATCGGTTCTTATTGTATTACAATTTTTTTCACTTGAAAGTATAAACATGAAGTTTTTCTAAAGTTTTTTTATTTACGGTTCAAGTTCGCAATAGTTTGAGCCTAGCTGCTGATCTTCTTTGTGTTATGTGCTGCAGTGAAAATAGTCATAGCTAGACAATGACTGCAATGTGAATTATATCGAAGTTTAACATATGATCTTCTTTTTGTTGTTTATTTGCTGAACTGAACAAAAAAAAATTGTGTACATGGCATGAAAGATAATCTCTGTGAAATTGTTATTTATATATATTAACATAAGGTCAATCAATACAAAAGATAATCTAAAATAAAAATAATACAATTTAAAAAAAAAGAAGGAAAAACTATATATATCCAGTTGTCCGGCGACCATTTTTGGCCAGCAACCTTCCCCGATGAGCAAACTCTGGCTAACGGCCATTGGACTTGAACCTTGGCCCTCAAAGGACGAAACCTCAACGACAAACCACCACACCAATTTTATTTTTGTGATATTTCTTGAGTTGCATAATATTTATATTAAAAGTTAAAAGGGCTTTTTGTTGTTGTAAATATTCATTTCAATACCAATTGTACAAAAGCACTCAAGCTATAGAGTTCTACATAAATATATCAATTTAAAGCTATATATTTGCAAGTTTTAAAACCTTATTTATATTATATATAAAATATATATATACAAAACCAACGATGCGCAATACAAAGTATACGATGCAACGCAAACTGCAATGTAGTGTATGAAATATTATAGACATTGCAACATAAAGGTCTATAAGGATTGGAAATATTGTACAAACTGCAATACAATGTTACACAAATTTACAAGTTTTAAATCATTATTTATTATATATATATATACAGAAATTCTCTTATGCGGACATCCATACGTTATTATCGTGCGGATGCCATATATTTTGTATTACCCCTCCATGCTTTCCTGCCGGTTTACAATAGTATTTGCATGATAATAATATACGTACATCCGGATAAAAGAATAACTATATATATATATAAAGCTAACGATGTGCAATACAAAGTACACAATGTAATACAAACTGCAACATAGTGTTTGAAATATTATAGACGCTACAACATAGTATATCCACGCATGCGCACATACACTAACATTAAAATAGACACATCAACGTAGTCTCTAAAATATTAAATATTATAGGCATTGCATAGCAGACAGCAAAAAGTAAAGTATTCAAAATAATAGACACCAAAAGGTAAAATATTGTACACACTCCGTGACAATGGCCAAAAGGTAAACTATTTTTCTTATTCGACTAATCACTTAGGGTTTAGCTAAAAGGGTGTCAAAAAATTTAAACTCAAAATTAATAAGTCATAAACCTAAAACTTCAAAAATAAAATAAAATTATAGAAGTTGCTAAGAAGACTAAGAAACAAAGATAATGTAGTTATTGCGAATGGTGAAACCACACTTGTGACAAGGGCTAGTTCCATTACCCTCACTCCCTCCTTATCTTTAACAACCAGATTGTGTTGTATTAATGTTTCTTACTTTTTGCTTGATCAAGGATATCCAGACTCGGGAGATCATTGGACGTGGTACTAAAAGAGTGGGATTATACTATGTTGATGACGTTGTGTCGGGTCAGGTTCATCAAGTTCGTGGAAACTCGTAGTAATTATGAGTAATTATAGAAGTTGCTAAGAAGACTAAGAAACAAAGATAATGTAGTTATTGCGAATGGTGAAACCACACTTGTGACAAGGGCTAGTTCCATTACCCTCACTCCCTCCTTATCTTTAACAACCAGATTGTGTTGTATTAATGTTTCTTACTTTTTGCTTGCTCAAGGATATCCAGACTCGGTAGATCATTGGACGTGGTACTAAAAGAGTGGGATTATACTATGTTGATGACGTTGTGTCGGGTCGGGTTCATCAGGTTCGTGGAAACTCGTAGTAATTATGAGTAATATTATTATAAAAGTAAACTAGTATTAATTATGAGTACATTTAAGTAATTATGATTAAATTTAATATATTATAATTGCATTTAATTTATTATCACTGGCCCATTTGATAGGTCCATATAAGCTCGGCCCATTGGCTCGTTAATGAGCCCGAAAATTTTAGGCCCTTGAGTAGGATATTAGCTTAGCATATTTAACATAGGGCAAGTTGGGCCTTGCTCATTCAACCCTTATGGCCGAAAAAGCAAGTGATTGGGTAGGGTCTGGGCTAATGCCTTTTAGGCCCCGTTTGGTTCATGGAATGAATTTGATGGGAAATCATTTCCCATGTAATTTCCCAAGGGATGGGAAATGGTGATTCCTTTCCCATGTTTGTTTTCAGTAGGAATGGAAAACAAATTTTGTTTAGTTTCCCAATTGTATCCCTATTAAAGTAATTAAAAAATACCAATAATTGTTGGATAAAAAGTGTAATTATGAATTGTTAGTAAGGACAAATTAGCAAAAAAAAGTTAGTCTTACTTTCCCATGGAAAGGGAAAGTGAAACCCAAGTAGGAAGGAAGGATTCACTTTCCCTCATACTTTCCCATGTGCTAGGCAACGCTTTCCTATGCCTGACTTACCAAACATGGGAAAGCAATTGGGGTCTGGGCTAATGCCTTTTAGGTCATATCTAGCCCGACCTGACCCATTTTACATGCCTACCTACAACATCAATAGAAAAATATTATCCGCACAGGAACTTGAAAAATATTACAACATAAAAACTTGTAAAATAAAAGGATTAGATATTATTTTGTACTTACGTGACAGATTTCTATACTAATCATATGGGCCTTTTATGGCTTTTCCATAAACCAAACTTGTAATATATTCTTCTAATTAAGAACCTACTCAAACTTTTTCTTTGCAACTCCAATCCTCCTCGTGAGCTAAAGAACCAATTAGCATGTAACCCACATGCGTTATGGCCAAAGAAACTGCCCCATCTACTTGTCCATCCATAAAGCCCAACGTGTTTTATAGTTGGGAAATTGTTAATCAAGCAAAGCCCACTATCACATGTGTAAGTGCCACTTTCATTGTACTGAGACCCCAACAAGAGCTGAGTCCAATTTTCCTGTTACCAAATTCCCTGTGCCCTCCTGTTGTTTCTTTAATTTTGTGACACATGGCACACCACTTAATAGCATTTTAACTCTGTTAACTCTCTTTAGCCCATTTGTTTTTATGAAAATAATTAAAAACTATTAAAATACATGTTTGACACAAACACGATATTGCATCTTCATCTTTTGCTACCTATTATCATACTCAACCCCTTCATAATTTTTTTTCTCCTTTTTGGCAGCTAGTTTTCATGGAAATTTGCAATATGCAAGTTCTATTACAATCATCTTTTTCATTTTCTTTTCTAGAAGAAAAAAAAAAAAAAACCAAATGAGTTTGATTCACATGAATTGCATAATGGGTATATGATTGTCGCAAATTATTTGTTTAAGTGTTTCTCATATGATAGCT